AAGCATCGCCCCTACAACAGTGGTCTCACCTAATGACTTCACCTAAGTGACCTGAACCCATGTGTTCGAGATTCGACCCTGGCAGGTTATAGATGTTATGTCCACTGGAAGTAAATTTCAATTGACAATTAAATGTAAATAACTTTTAGTAATGGTGGTTATTCCACACAGCTTCTTTTTACTTAGATACATTTAATATGGGTTTCTGTATGGTTTCTGTACCACGCCACATCGGTTGTGTTAATGTTGAAAGATAAATGTATTTGAATATTTATGGTCCCTCGTATGGTGATCTCGGGGACTTACAGTGCCTTTGCTTCCTGCATGGACCCCGGCAGGATTTATATCATCCCTTCAGTCACTGGCAACAGTGTACCAGATAAGCCAAAGATTAAAATGACGAATATAATATACGTTTAAAAGTCTGGCATGCATAAAAATACTTCGAATGATATGGGACTTACGTACCCTCTTAGGGGGACAATAATTTAACGCTACTTTAACCCCCCTCGAGGGTACAGCCACTAACAATCTCAGTTATAAATACGCACTGCCAGTTTATTAAATACACTAAATACATCAAAATTTATGAATAAGTTCAATTTCTTTTAAAAAAACATAATATTAAATGAGAATTAACATCATTAAAAGGTCTTTAATTGTTTTAACACTGAAGTATTTATCCCTTGTGATGGAAAAATCAATACAGTCAAGAAGGACATGCCTGACTGTGATTCTGTCATCACCAGGGCTACAAAACGGAGGATCCTCACCATTTAAAGATACTCATGAGTACATCTCGAATGGCCGTCTCCAAGATTAACCGTACTCCTGTATACAGTCAATTTATATCCACAGAAACTATTTGAGACAAGTGGAATTAATGTGGATTCTCAAAATCTCAAAGGCTTTGCTTAACTTTTTGCAATCTCAGAAAAGATCAGACTTCAATTCTGTCAAAACATCTGATTTTTCAACTTCCAACAGAACACACTTTAATCCTTGATCCATGTGCCATTTGGTACGACCTCGACCCCGCCATGATACTGCTGAAATGATGCTAAAAGCGGCGTAAAACAATCAAAACCATACTCACTCACTCGACAGACTTCAGGTGTAAGTAAGCCAAGCGTGAAGACGGCAAGTCTATAGATATCATCGGGCAGTGCACTTAGAGCAAGAAAAAATAACTGCTATTGCTCGGTTTCTATAAGATAATATGGAAAAATCTACGTTTTATCAGATGGAGCTCAGAGTAAAACCAAATGGTTGGTATTTATAAAAGTAGTGCCATGCTATTTCGGATTTCTAAAACACTTTCTTACTACAAACAAGTTCATCTTACAACAAAGCTCTTATTACTTCCTCTTGGAATTGTCTAACTATCGGTTTCGTTAAACACATTCTTCCTGCATTAAATCTGAAAGACTCATGTGCATATTATGTCACTGCAGTATTCGGACACTTAGAATTTCATTTGAACAACAAAAAAACATGGTCCTCGTTCAGTTTTAATACTTCCGGTTTTGTCACTTATGGTTTCGGAAATTAGAACGTTAGTATCATGGTTGTAGCTGACTTTATAAGTTAGTTATAAGTACTTACATGACATGAATGTATGCATGACCAGATGGGGGACTTCAGCTTTCCAATCGTTAACCTTTCCCTTTATGTCGTGCAATATTCCAGCAGCTTCAGTGATTGGTGGTTACATTTCACAGAATTTAAAATCTGATTATATACACATATAGGGACATAGTGAAGAATTAGCTTACCTCTACTCTACATGAATTACACTAATATATTGAAGTGAGTAATTACAAATGTTGTGGTGATATGGGACGTGTAAACCATCATTCCCACTGTTTACAACATAATCACGTCACAGTTGGGCCAAGTGAAATATAATGCAGGAGGAGGCACATTTCTATGTTGTGACAGATCTTTGAATATGAATTGAACGTTTATAAATGTATTCTTTCTTTTTTTATACTTAGGTATATTCATGAAAGTGAAGCTGAGTGAGGGGGTTTATATCTATAGTCACATCGGCAATATTCAGCCTTATTGCAAGACACGTTTTACTGTAATAATACAAAAATGGAGACTATAAAACCTGTCCACGAAGGACAGTAAAAGCACCAGACTATTACAAATAGATTTAAAACTAGTATGCAACCATAAAACGTTTATTAATCATAACGATACACTATAAAATTGGGCTATAGATCACCAGCAAGCAAAGTTAGGCCACCATACTGGGGACCATGGGGCTTATGGTACGTCTGCTTCCTGCATAGTTCCCCTGCAGGATTTACACCATCCCTCTGGCTACCTGTGATTGTTAGTAAGTTTTAGCCAAAACTTTTAAAATCAATAAGTATTCTACGATTAAAACCATGGAAAATGAAAAATACTTTGAATGAAACGGGACTTTTCAGGGGACAATTATATTACGTAACTTCAACCTCATTTGAAGGTACAGCCACTTTCAATCTCAGTTATTAAATTATTCTACCAAATTAAAATCACTTACTTTTAACAATACATACTATCAAAATTTATCATGTAACTCAATTTCTTTTACACATCCAAGCATTAAACCTTTATGATCTTTTATGTATGAAAACTGGAAATAATTATCCTTTGTGATGTAAAAGTCAATGCAGTCTGGCAGGACATGCTTGACTGTGATTATTATATAACAAGGGACACAGCATGGAGGATCTGCACATTTCAATAAATATTCATATGTATTAGGAGAATGGCCAATACCACATCGTCGCAAAATGATCGCTTCAAATCCGCAGGTATTACCCTACATGAATTCATTCAAATGTTGTTTCGCCTCTACCTGCACAGCAGCTTTCACAATGGCCAGCCCCTTGGACGATTGAGAGCACCATCAACACACAGCTACATATATCCATGAGTGCCCAGGCGTCCAAAATAAACTGTCGGACAACAGAAACTTTACCACTAGAGTGGGTGAGTGAGTATGGTTTTACGCCGCTTTTAGCAATATTCCAGCAATATCACGGCGGGGGACACCAGAAATGGGCTTCACACATTGTACCCATGTCGGGAATCGAACCGGGGTCTTCGGCGTGAAGAGCGAACGCTTTAACCACTAGGCTACCCGATCGCCCCACTTTATAAAAGAAATTAAAAAAAAACACAATATAGAAACTAAATCAATGCAAAACACGTTATCCAAACAGAACAATGCTCTGAGCAGAATGTGACACACGGCATGGTTGTTTGTTGAAAATGCGAAAAAGTGCCACTTACTTACTAACATGCTATAAGGTTATATAATGATACGGACAACATGTTAGACACTCACACAGATAAAGCACCACCACAGAAATGCCCGACTGACATTCGAACAACACGAGCAGGTCCTCGGTATGATACAGATGCCCTCATTGCTAAAACCTTTTGGTGCTTCCGTCTTGCTGTAACTAACCTGATGTAGCGTTACAGACCGGGTAGACATCAGACAAACCAAGAACAGGCAGACCCAAGGTAACTACGCCCAATTAAGACTGCATCCCCGGAATCGATTCCTGATTCCTTAGGGCATATGATTAGTCAACAGACGGCAGTGGCCAAGCGACTCCGGGCTCAAGGAATTGATGCTTACAGACCTAACAGAGGACAGTTATTAACAGTGCAACATCGTCGTCAGAGATTGAGATGGGCCCGGACTGTACGTCGTTGGCAGCAATGTTTTTTGTTTTTTGGGTTTGTTTTTTTCGTTGGCAGCAATGTGACACAGATGAAAAGCGGATTGTCTGTTCAGAGCTGATGGAAGACGTGTTTACAGGGGAGAACAAACGGTGGCATATGCATGTTGCGTTCAGGGGCTGCGTGTGGTGGAGGGGTTGTCATGGTGTAGGGAGGAATTTCTGGGTAGGAGAGAACACCTCCGACAGCTCAGTTTTACATGGGTGACATCATCAAAATGAAACATTAACTTAAACGTTATGTCACTGTATACGGACCGGTGTATAAAAATATTTTCCATAATCATGAGTAAAAGCAGAGTCCACTGTACGAGTCCAGCTATATGTGATTATGAATCATTTCCAAACAGTTGGCGTTGGCGAAACGTTGAACCCCATTTGAGACACCCATAAAAAAACCCTGAAAAAATACGTATCATAGGTGCAGATAAGAACCAGACAAATGCGTGTATAAGGAACCGATGTCCTCTCTCTGAATGACACGCCCTTTGTCTTGACAACTGTTTTTTTGGTTTTTGTAAACTATTATTTCCCCTACGTCGACATTACAGATAATATCCACACGTCTTCTCAACTACGTTTCACTGTGTAAATATATCAACATTACTTATGATGATTAAAGCAGGCAGTAAACATGTTTGTAAAACTGTATGAGCATGGACTATAATAATGGCATGGTTCTGAACAGATTTACTGTTTTGCATACAAACAATCGTAAGCCTGATAAGCCACTCCTCATCAAAACTAATAGCTCTGATTTTTCTCGCACTGATTTAGTCATTAAAATGGTCCTTTCGTGTCATTATATATATCAACAATGTCCATCTTTATTCCTTGTGAACATATCATGATTTCACAATGCATGTATATATCTTTCATCTCAATTGGCATTCAGTTGAATTACGTCTTCTAATTGAAGTCCTGTTAAGCTTTTGTTCGGGTAGTTCTGGCTTAGAATCATATTTGATATTCTTTGTTCCTTTCATGCATAATTATTCAACGTCAAGGTCAGAGAATAACCAATTGTCAATAAGGGAACATTTTAGTTTTACACAGGCAATTAGCTCCAACTGAAGTTGTTCATTCTTTTCATCAATTCTTTTTTAGATTGGACTGGTGAATAATTTTCCAGTAACACTTATATAATGACATCAAAGACATTTTTTATAGGTTTACTGAAATCAATTTTGAAATAATGAGTTAGTATAAATATAGCCACTGCGTCTAAATTTCCTGTCACTTAGTCAATCTTCTAAAATGACACGATTGTACTATGTGGTATTCGTATCTTGTTTGGGGCTGGCAGAAGCCCAGTTTCAGGGATTTGAGGCACCTGTATTCACCGGTTCGAACTTCGGATTCAAACAAACAAAATCTGGAAACCCGGGAGACCCTTCTGGAGACCAGACGAAAGACGACAATGCTAAAGCCATCAATGCTGCCACTGAAGCAATAGAGGCTAAGGTAAAAGCTGAATTAAAGGAGACAAGAGGCACGGTACAACAGCTGAAGGACAGGTTTGAGCAACAGGATAAAGAGGCAATTACAATAAAGGGGAAGGTGCAGGAAGTCAACGGGAAGGTGCAGGAAGTCAACGAAAAAGTAAAGTCACTGACGGAGAATCTCCAAAGTGTTGCAAAAGAGTCTGAAGAAAGGAACAAAGCCGTGCAAAAGAAGATGAAAGAGCAGTGCCTTGTCACGGCTCAACTGCAGGCAGTCCTTGGCAACACTGCAACTGGTTTGTCTTTAGTTTAAAATGCTTTCGTTTGCATATTGAGGTTATCCCTCGAATTTAATCTACATCTAATCTATTTAGATGTTAACCAGCCTTTAAACCCGTCTTCACATCAGATTGATAGATTGAGAGGGTTTGTTATCCCGCACATTGAATGTGTATTTATAGTCAAATACTGAGATCCAATGCTGAGATGAGCGTTTAAAGGAGTAATATGGAATTAATCGATTACAACAGACGTGATTACATTGATAGTGGTTAGAAATATGCATGTGTTATAAACAACTATACGAGCCTTATAGCCATATATGTCATTATAGGACACTCTCCAGTGCATTCGTATTGTAGGAAAACCTACCTTCACGTCGGCAACATCAAGTTCAACTAAAGCTGGAGCAGTGGCTACTCGAGCAATTGATGGCAATACAAATCCCATGTTTCTCGGAGGCTCGTGTACTCACACGAGTTCCAGGGACTCCCATCCCTGGTGGCTTGGACATCTAAGTGCGAAGATTGAAGTTCACAACATAACACTGACAAACAGAAGGGACTGCTGTGGTATGTTTTGTTTGTAACCATTACTTTCCTTTACACGTATTGTGGACCTAGGTGATTATGGAACATGGAATGATGATGATATGTTTGTTTCTCTTCAGCCAATCGCTTGAAAAACGTGATAATTGAAGGCTTTGAAGAAGATCCCACAAACAATCCTGAAGCACAACCGCATTTATGCAAAAAGCACCCGGATCAAGTTCAGGCAACAGAAACTATTCAATGCGACTCTCCTATTGCTGCACATTTCATCCGAATTTCGCTGGGTTACAAGGGGTATCTGACGTTATGCGAGGTTAACGTAGGAGGTAACATGGAATAGTAGAACTGTGTGAACAAATGTCTAACTTTAAAGCACCCAATTCTCTGGTTGTAAAATGTTGAATCTTGTTGTGAATATTGAATACCTGTGTGACCGTATCCAGTAACATGTGTGTTGTTGCGTGAAGCTAGACTGATAAAAATATCCCCACTAGCTCTCTTGTTTATGGTACGTATAGCTCTTGTTTATGGTTCGTACAGGTGTAACGATTGAAAGGAAAGGTTGTTGTTGCATATTACATCCGAATTTCGCTGGGTTACAACGAGCGTCTGACGTTATGCGAAGTGAACGTAGGAGGTAACATTTACATGAATTAGAACTATGTGAACAAATGTCTAACTTTAAACCACACAAGCCTATGGTTGTAAAATGTTATTTCTAGTTGTGAATATTGAATACCTGTGTGACCGTATCCAGTAATATATGTGTTGTTTCATGAAGCTAGACTGATCAAAGTATCACCATCAGCTATCTTGTTTATGGTACGTATAGCTCTTGTTTATGGTTCGTATAGCTCTTGTTTATGGTTCGTATAGGTGTAACGCTAGGAAACTTCTCCAAAGTTCTGTTGTCTCCCCCTCCACCAATGCTATGGTGGCGACTGATGATGACGTCAGCACCTGTTCTTTGACTGGGAGTGAGACTGGCGATGCTCCCTGGTGGCAGATGGATCTGAATGAGGCAGTTACTGTCTTAAGTGTTGAGATCACAAACCGGAATGATGACAAATGTAAGTGTGGTGTCACACAAATGTAAACACGTTGTATGGGCGTTGGTTCCATCTTGTGTAAGATTCTGAAACATTTTGTGTGATAATCAATTAATATTTATATCATTTTGCAATATTTGAGGATTTTGATACTGTCTCTCACATGCGGATTTACGCGTGTATTGGCATTTTAAAGTTTTTTTGTTATTGTTTAACGCCACACTCAGCAATACTGCAGCTCTATGATGTCAGTCTGCAAATAATGGAGCCTGGACCAAGACAGTCCAGTGATCGGCATCACCGATACACATAACTGGAAAACAATTACATGCATCAACTAAGTCAGCAAGCCTGTCCACCTGTTGGTCGCCTATTATGACAAGCATTCACTGTGGCATATGTATGTAAATATAAACGTTGTCTCTTTGATCATTATATGATCTTCACAAATTTTTTGTTATTCAATGAAAACAAATGATAATGGTTAAAGTATTTTCCTGAACCTCTATATAGACAAGTGGCTCTCCAACATCCAGATTGATCTTTATGATCAACTGCCATCAAGCTGCTCAGGCGACACAGAGGTCACCCCTCGCAAGTGCACATCCCGTGAAGAACAAGTTGGTCGAGGAGAGGCAGTAACCTTGACTTGTGACACGCCCACTACCGGCCGTTACGTGAGGATCACCAAGAAGGTAAAACTTCCTGACGAAGCCTTGTCTCTGTGCGAAGTCACCGTCACCACTTTACCTTCAACATAACAACACATTCGTGTGACACGCGCCACCTTTGGCATATGAACCCAAACTGCTCGTCATTGGGTCTTTGTACTACAACGTAATAAATAGCAGCAAGCGATCAGAGTTGTCTGTATTAATTTCTGTTGATGGCACTCATGACCCGGCCATATGTTCGTGTTGTTGAAAATAGAAGATAACTTTCAATTGATTCATTGACGTATCAAGTTCGATCTTGTGCATGAAACAGTGAGCACGGTATTGATTGTCTGTTTGCTTTACTGAATGTCCGTCAGATTTGCCTATTTACACTTAACACTGAAACGTTCTAACTGAAGCAATAGGTGTGTTTAACTACATATTCCACCAATGATAACAGCTGAATTGTTCGTTGTCTGAAACACCCGCGCACTAACTGCGTGTCGCTTACGTTTCGCTGGTTGACAGGCCATACTCACAGTTTGAAGTCACAACTTTGACCTCTGACCTCCACAGACGCCATATTTATGTATAACTGTGCAAGTATTGAAAGCTTTCTTTCTATATGTGATATATCATATTTATTTAATGATCGGAAATGAGAAATCTCACCTCTGAAATGTTGAAATCTAAAGAGAAAGCTGTTAAATATGGAAGTAGTAGGAGAGCGACATCAAATGTTAATCCCACCTCACTATAACCAAATACACATAAGCGATGCAAGTAGTAGGACCAGCGTTACTCTATGTTTAAGTATGAGAGTAACGAACGTCGTAGCCCTAGTGTCCAATTCCCTTATGAAATGGGTCCCTGAACTCATAAATGTCGTAACTTCATTGTCTGCTTGTCAGTGAATGCTGCACCATATGTTAGTATACATACTCACCCTTATAATCTTTTATCCTGATCACCATGCATGTTAAACTTCAAACTCCAATTTCAAAATACCCTTTTAAATAGTGTCTCATTCATCTACTTGCTAATGACCCGTGAAGATCCGGGGTAGAATAGGTCTTCATGATCAGCAACCTATACTTGCCATAAAAGGCGACTATGCTTGTCGTAAGATGCGACTAACGGGATCGGGTGGTCAGGCTCGCTGACTTGGTTGATACATGTCATCGATCCCAATTGCGTGGATTGCGATATCAATCACTAGATTGTCTGGTCTAGGCTCGATTATTTACAGACCGCCGTCATATAGCGGGAATATTGCTAATATTGTTAAACAAAGACACAAAGATGTGATGTTTTCCCCTTCCAACATAGGTACACTACATTCACGGTAGATCGAGATGTCACCTTGTCCCACAATGCTATGGACACTTTTTGTAGGTCTAAGGTTTCAAATGCAGATGTCTCCATCTATTTCATAGTTTTGTCGAGTGCAATTGTTTGTGTCCTGATGGGTGTGATTATTAATATATCCTATTATCTGCGTAGACGGTTGTTATGGTAGCAAATATCAATATAGTTTGAAGCAGCAATGTCGGGCTCAAAGTGACAGTCCTTCTTGCTGCACTATCATGGTGGACACACGTGGAGGTCCACTCAGGCAGTCTCACCTTTGGTTCATCAGAAGCAAAAGCAATGAACCAATGTTCGTCATCGTTTTAACTCAATTAGAAGGAATGGTGGTGTAGCCTAGAGGTCAAAGCGTTCGCTCGTCACCTTGAAGGCTTGGGTTAGATTTGCACCATGGGTTCAATGTGTGAAGCTCATTTATGGTGACCCCTCCGTGATATTGCTGGAACATTGCTAAAAGCGGCATAGAACCATCAAAACCATACCCAATCACTCAATATACTTCAGGTATAACTACGTCACTACTTATTGCAACAGGCCTCCATTTACAACAAAGCTCTTACTACTTCCTTTTGGAATTGTCTAACTTCCGGTTTCAGAATACATATTCTATATGCTTTAAAACCTGTAATCTGAAAGATTCATTGTTCTTTCTCAGCTAATAATAACATTATTATTAATTCTATTTTGGATTATGTCACTGTTTCGAAAAAAAAAAGTTCCTTTCTTTATAAGAGCGGAAATCCCATGGTCCAAGTTCAGTGTGTATCAAAGTACTTCTGGTTTTGTTACATGTACTTGTGGATTCGGAAATTAGAACGTTAGAACTTCAAACGAGGAAGTATTATGGCTGTAGCTCACGTTGTAAGTTAGTTATTAGTTCTTATGTAGAATAAGAGTGATGCCTTCAGCTTTCCAATCGTCAACTTTCGCTTAATATTCGAGCAGCACCAGTGTTTGGTGTTTACATTTTACAACTTTGACATATGGTTATATACACTGATATATTGAATTAAGTAATTCCAAATGATATTTACCTCTAGACAAAAATATATTACAGCATCAGGCTTAAATTCGTCTTTTATACCCTTGTAGTAGAAATGTAGGAGTGAGTGAGTTAATGTTTATAGTCACATCGGCAATATTTCAGCCATATCGTGACAAAATCAAGTTAAATATTAATGAAACACAAAACTGAACTGTAAAACCTGTCAACGAAGGACAGTAAAATAACTAGATTATCACAGATGTAGATTTAAAACTAGCATATCATCATAAAATTTGAACCATTCATAATAATACACAATAAAAATTGGCTATAGATCACCAATAACCAAAGGTAGGTCACCAAACTAGGTACCATGGGGACTTACGGTACTTCTGCTACCTACATAGTACCCCAGCAGGATTTACACCATCCCTCTGGCTACTGGTTATTGTTAGTAAGTTTTAGCCAAAGCATTAAAAAAAACCACAAGACTTCTACGATTAAAACCACGGAAATGAAATTCTTTGAATGAAGTGGGACTTAGGTACCCTCTTACCAATTGCAAATTAAAATCACATACTTTTTACAATACATATTATCAAAATGTATCTATTAACTCAATTTCTTTTTTTTTAAAAAGAATTAAACGAGTACTTACCTTATCAATGAACCTGGAAAAATTATCCCTTGTGATGGAAAATCGATACAGTCAAGCAAGACATGTTTGACTGTGATTCTGTCATCACAAGGGATGCAGAATGGAGTATCCTCACCTTTAAACGAATGTCCATGAGTATAACGAGAATGGCCAAAACGACATCGTCTTAATACGACTTCTTCAAATCTGGACTGACAACCCAAATAGGTATATCGATCTTTGCCTTTCTGCATGTAATTTATTTATACCCACTTGAGTGTCCCACTTCTTCTGCATTAGGTCTTTGATATAACATCTAATTAAAGGTTTGTAGTCGCTGTATGGTATAAGAAGTGGTGTCACAGACTTGTCGAGAGCTGCTTTTGCTGCAGCATCAGCCATAGTGTTACCTGCTATTCCAACATGACTGGGCAACCAGCAAAAGACAATGTCGTATTGGCCAGAAGCAAGGTCATTGTATTGTTCTAAAACATCTAAAATGAATGGATGACTTGAAGAGCTCGATGTTATTGCCTGTAGACAAGAAAGTCAATCTAAAAAGATGATGAACCGTTTACTGCTAGATTGTTTTTGAATATACTGAGTCAAATTAAAAACTTCACTTTTTTAAAAGTAATCCCATATATGATATACAACGGACAAATGTATCAGAGAAGGTAATTTTTAATCATTAATGTCCAAAGAAGGATTTTAATTAACGGTGGTAACCATAATTTGTTCCAAGCACCTACGGTATTCGATAATAACATCAAAAGTTTAAATCATAAGTCCCAAGCAAGAGAATCTGTTGGCACACAAGTTCAGTAGCGTGTATTGCCACCATGTGCGTTGACAACTGCCACACAACGCCTCTGCATGGACCTTGGGATGCTTGTGAACACATGATTGGGAAGACGACGCCATTGTTGCTGCAAAATGGTGCAAAGATCTTGCAAATTCTGTGGTTGGTTCTGGAGAGTGCTTCTGCCAAGAGCATCCCAGACGTGTTCGATGGGATTAAGGTCGGGAGACCTTGACTGCCAGTCCATGACGTTGACTCCCGCATTCTGAAGGAAATTCCTTGTCAAAATTGTTGTGTGGGGTCTGGCATTGTCGTGTTGGAAGATCAAACCGAGTCCATGTGCTGTCATAAAAGGCAGAAGTTCTGGTGCCAGTACCTGACCGCGGTAAGCAGCAGCGTTGAGGTTGCCACGGATGACAAGAAGCCTGGAACGTGCATTACCACAGAAAGCACCCCACACCATGACACTTCCGCCTCGAAATCTGTCAACTTCCTGTACACAATACTGGGCGTAACGTTGATGACGGCGCCTCCACACCCTCGCCCTACCATCAGCAAATCGAAGATTAAATCGGGATTCATCACTGAAGATCACTTGATTCCAATTCCTCTGAGTCCATCGTAAGTGTCGCTGTGCCCGCAATTGACGTTGACGTCTGTGTATTGAGTCAGAATCGGCCCGCAGTATGGCCGTCGTGCTTGAAGGTGAGCAGTTCTCAGACGGTTTCGAACAGTTTGCGCACTCAGTCTACCCCTAAACAGTTCATTTCTAGTTGATGTAGCCGTCAAAAATCCGTTACGGAGGTGACGTAAGACAATCTGACGATCCTCTGCATGTGACGTCACACGTGGTCGACATGGCCGAGGGCGATCAGCGGTGGTACCCGTTTGCTGTAGACGCGTCTGTAAATCATAAACAGTCCGTCGACTACAACCCATCGTCCTTGCGACTTCAGCTACGGACGTTCCCGTCTGCAACATGCCGATGGCACGTTCACGTTGCACATTTGAAAGGCGTGGCATGACAAATGGCTGAAAAGACTTTTGTTTTCTTGCGTTTTTCTTTTTTTGCTAATGACTGCTTACAAGTATGTTTGAAAACACGTGCGGCATTATGGCCATGTGACCAGTTGCACGTGAAAAAACACTTTTGCCACTATAGTGCTGTGCACATGATTTTGATCGATTCACCTGCACAAAAAACGGGTGTTATCTGAAGACAATACGTGGCCATTACTGTTTAAATACACAATAAGGGCCCACAATGACATCTGGTCAAAATGTTAACATTTTAGGATTGTGAAGTTTTTAATTTGGTTCAGTATACTTTGTGTAATTTGCCGCCAATACATTCTTCCTGGTCATGACACCATTAAGTAATAATTATGCACTGATCTTTTACATCATAATTATCATATTTGTTTTATTT